TGCTGGGGTGTGATTGAAGCCATACCAAAGTAGTAGTCGAATCTGTCCACGCATACAACGGACAAGAAATGTCAGTCCAGCTATGTAATACAACGTGTACGAGCTTGGCAGCAAAATGTGCAGCACGTAACTCAAGACGCGGGCGCGTTGTTGGCTTAAGCGGCGCTACTTTTGTTTTAGAAGCAACAAACAAAACCGTGAGCCCTCCACCATTTTGAGCAGTACGCGCGTACAATGTGGCAGCATAAGCCCGTTCAGATGTTTCAGCAAAAACACGTAACTCTACGATTGACCCATCTACTCTGGAGCCGAGCCAACGATATACTTTTAACTTTGCGAGTTATAATAAGCCAGAGCGATGCTCCAGCCACTATGTAGATATGTCATCAGGTACTAAATCATCCCAATATGTTTCATATCAGATGCAATAGCAGCGTGTTTAATACCCCTCCAACTCGAAGGATACCACACTCATCAATAAATGGGTGCAAACGCAAAAGACAGCTACGGGGCGGAAGGGGCCGTTTCGCGCTGCAAATAGAGACTTCATTAGAAAAATAAAATAGTTGCGTATACTAAATTAGTCGATTTTCAGCATCAGCGATCTTCTTGCGATTCGGTATCCCAATGAGTTTTTAGGCTCCGTTGTGAAGACTCGCTTGAATGTTGCGAATAAACCTAAGGCAGTAGACTACGATGCGACGTAGTTTTGAATACGAAGAGTATCTCGTTATTACCGACCAGTACTCATTGGAATTGACAATGTGAGCACGAAACTTGCTTCTTACACCAAGTTCAGTGGTATGTAACTTCCCCGCCGATTGCCTCCAGAAATATCAAGTAATCTTAAGGAATATGGGCCCAGCCCACCACAAGGGATGGCTCAGTAATTCGGATTGCTTTATTCCCCTTGATACACAATCAGCAGGATTCTGCTCGGTTTCCAATATTGCGGCGGTAAAATTTCATGAATGTTCGCAACACGGTTTGCTATAAACGCGACTCATCTGCTGGGGTGTGATTGAAGCCATACCAAAGTAGTAGTCGAATCTATACACGCATACAACGGACAAGAAATGTCAGTCCAGCTATGTAATACAACGCGTACGAGCTTGGCAGCAAAATGTGCAGCACGTAGCTCAAGACGCGGAAGCGTTGTTGGCTTAAGCGGCGCTACTTTTGTTTTAGAAGCAACTAACAAAACGGTTAGCCTTCCATCATTTTGAGCAGTACGCGCGTACAATGTCGCAGCATAAGCCCGTTCAGATGTATCAGCAAAAACATGTAACTCTATGATTGACCCATCTACTCCGGAGCCGAGCCAACGATTTACTTTTAACTTTGCGAGTTATAATAAGCCATACTAAATCATCCCAATCCACTCCCGAACGCAAGATTTCTTGAAACCATACTTTCGACCTTATAGTGACGGGCGCGAGTATGCCCAGAGGATCGAAAAGCGTACTCGCATCACATAAAAAGGCTCGTTTGGTTAAAGTAATGTGAAATGATCATCTGCAGTGTGCAAATCAAGGCCTAAGGCGTGCACATCTTTGTCGTCGATTAACTAATGCGATATGCTTGGTGCATTTCTAGAAGTATGCTCGTTTAATTTTGCGCGATTGGTCGCCCATTTTCTAGGCTCGAAGCCGCCTTCAAACAATAAAAGCTCGTCAGCAGTGGAGGTTTCGGTTAAGAGATCATCCATATAAAAGTATTTTTTAACAGCAGCCGCCCTTTCACTCTTATTCATGGAAAATTTTGCAGTTGGTTGTTGTGACTTAACAGTCAAGTAAGATGTGGACGCAACGCCGTACGTCACTCTTAACATTCGGTAGTCTATAATGGGTAAGGACGAATCTCAACGCCAAACAATCCGTTGTAAATCTACATGCTTAGACGAAAGGAGGACTTGTCGGTACATTTTTGCGATATCAGCAGTAACTGCATATCGGTGCGTTCTGAAACGCGTCAAAATGGAAAAAAGATTTTGTTGCAATTGTGGTCCGACACGTAAGGCGTTGTTCAGAGACTTTCCGGAACTCGTTCTGGCGGAAGCATTGAAAACGACCCTCAGCTTGATCGTGATACTTGACTCCTTAATAACTGGATGATGAGGCATGTAATATGCGGCGCTCGTCACTTCCGATGCGGGTTCCATATGATTCATTTCAATTAGTTCGTCCTTGAATTCGTTATAACGCGATCGGAAATCCTTATTTAGAGCCATTTTTTTGACGATCAGCAGAGCATCTTTGGGGTACCTCTTCTGACTCCCATAGCCACTGCCAGGAAGACCCTTTCGTAATCTAGAACATAGATATTGCTCCATTACGTCCATTCCAATCAATAAGTCGCGACCATGCTTCATAAATTGTGGATCAGCCAAAGGCAAATCATTAACATGAGACCATGCAGAGACAGGTAGGGCAAGCGTAGGCAACTCGCTCGTGATATTAGATAAAATCAAAACATTTATGGTGTAACATTCATCAGAGTAGTAAGGCGAAAGTGAAATTAGTGTCTCACCTCTTGATTTGCCTCCCTGCGAGGATCCAATTCCCGTGATTAAAACTGTAGATCGAACGAGGCATGTGATCCGGAATCTAATAACAGACGAGCAGTTGCCACTTGCCAGTGCAATCACGGATCTTTACCANTAGCCAACGCACAATTTTTCGGTAGAATAATAGGATTCCCAGTTGATGAAGTGAACCCAAATGAGAGATTTGCGGAGGAGCCTTCAGACGAGGGCGGCTTTATTTCGTTGACGAGGTATGTTGGAGATACATTGGCATTGGCATTGACATAGACAATTGATACATGCCTTTGATTCTTTTACAAAGCTCAATTTTGTGTTCGAGTCCAGACTACGGAATTTCTCACAACTATAAGTTTTGTGCGATCCATTGCAGTAAATACAGCAATTAACGTTCGTACCAGATAAGGCGTGAAATACCGTGTCCATAATGGTTTGGTCCCAGTTGATGAAGTGAACCCAGATGAGAGAATTGCGGAGGAGTCTGCAGACGTGGGCTGCTTTATTTCGTTGACGAGGTATGTTGGGGATACATTGGCTGAATTCGCGTTAACATGGAGTAAAGAATGATGTCGTTTTTAGCATATTCGACAAACTGATGTACTGTTGAACTGGGCTTTGTAATGTCTCCGGTACTTAGACAATTGATACATGCCTTTGATTCTTTTACAAAGCTCGATTTTGCGTTCGAGTCCAGACTACGGAATTTCTCACAACTATAAGTTTTGTGCGATCCATTTCAGTAAATACAGCAAATAACGTTCGTACCAGATAAGGCGTGAAATACCTTGTCCAATTTGATGGGTGCTGCAGTTGATGCAGTCGGCGTGGGAAGTAGACAGCGAGCGACATCTTATTTCCAAAAAGTTTACTATTGTTCGAATGTCGGAGGATCATCGTTAAGAAGCGATAGCTCCCATTGCTTTCTAGTTTCAAATGCTAATCTGCTGACGATTTCATGAACTAGCCAGTCGTTCCAAAACTGGACTGGTCGGCCTATGGCTTTGAGTTCTCTAATATGCTGCTGAAATGCATTAAAACGTTTTTTATAGCTTCTGCCGTATCATTACACGCTTTCCGTATTTCAGCCATTGTTTGGAAATCAACAATGGATAACACGCAGAATTTTATAGCGGGACTTAAGTAAGTCCCACGCTTCGCTATAATTTGCGTCACAAATTTTAAACTCGTTAACAATTTTTAACGCATCTCCCTTTAAGCACGTTCATATCTACTAATGCGGAGAACTCATCATAAGAGCCTACCCATTCTGTTGAGGCAAATGTGTCGTCGAATTTGCAGCGAGTAGAGCAGTGGGTTAGATGTGGAAAAGTTTTATGAAGTTGGGTTTTTTAGACTAACAGGAAGACCTTCATTTCTCCGGGAAATTAGCCAGAAACTAACCTATTCAAAAAATGTTATTTATGGTTCCATTTACTTGAAACTCGCGACATAGGTGGATTTTTGCTTAGATAACCAGAAATACTTTTATTTTCTTCGGGAAGTGAACCAGGGAATATCCTATTCGATAAATGCTTAGTTTTGTTCAATTTACTTGAACTTCGATACATGGGTGGCTTCTGCTTAGAGTAACAAGCAGATTTTTCTTTTCCCCGGGAAGGGCCATGGACTAAAATATAAAATATATTCGAAAAAATTGTTGGGGTTGGATTTACTTTAATTTCTGTACATAGGAGACATTTTGCTTAGATTAATAGAAATATTCTTAGAGACTGACCTATCCCGATTAACTTGATTAACAGAAAAACTGCACTTATCTCCTTGAAGTGGACCAGAGACTGAGCCATACGAAAAAAGTTTATTTGTGGTTGGATTTACCAGAGATTCGTTACTGGGGTGGCATTTTCAGATTAAGTAGAAGACTCATCTTCTTCCAGGGAAGTAAGCCAGAGGGCATCCTATTCGAAAAAAAACTTCTTACAATTAGGTTTACTGGAAATTCGATAAAAAGCTGGTTTTTTTTTTTAAATTAGTAGGAAGACTCCTCTTCTCTCCGGAAAATGGACCAAGGACTAAAGATTATCAATCGCTCGATTTACTAGAAATTCGGTATATTTGGTAGGTTTTGGCTTAATTTAACCCAAAATTTTTGAAATGTTTGCAATAAAATATTATCAAAAATAGCAGATATCTAGGCGGATAGCAAGCAAAGCATATGCGAAGCGGTAAACATGAAAAAACTGAGCTGAGTTAGCGGAACGAATGTAATTGCCAAAAGAATATGAATAAAAAGAAAAGCAAACGAAAATGTATAACAATTTTTAGCAAAATATGGCAATAGGTGTTTATCTTTACGTTTGTTCCCCATAAAATTTAAGAAGGCTGCACATATAACTTACGAGTTTACTTTCTTGAGCGTTTGCTTACTAAAACCCTACATACCGCCGCTCTTGAACTTAATGAGTACAAAGCTCAATATAGTAATATAATTTCCTTAATTTCAGGTTTTTTTCTTAGTCTTCAGAGTTTCACCGACTATGAAGTGCCCCGGTGTTAGAGCCTCTAAGCCATTGACACTTGTGGAATTTTCGCAAGACGGACGAGAGTTGACGCAGGCTTCAACTTCTATTAGCAACGTGTTGAATTCTTCGTATGATAGCAAAGTTTCTTCCAGTACACGTTTCAACTGGTACTTTATTCTTTTAATACCGATCTCCCAGTAGCCACCCATATAGGGAGCTGAGGGGCGGTTTAAATGCCACTCGATATTTGATTCAGCAAAGAAGGATTGAAATCTGCTATCGGACATGCACTGGTGTAGATTCACGCGAAGCATCTTTTCCGCACCAATGATATTTGCTCCATTATCAGAGAACATTTCCTTACAATGGCACCTGCGATTAACGAACCTCTTGAACGCATTAAGGAAACTCTAAATGCATTGCACCAGTGCACATGTAAATAAACAAATGTAGCCGTTGTTGACTTTGCACTTCTTCCGTGAGTGAACTTGAACATATATGGTCCCGCGAAGTCTACTGCGCTGCGAATAAAGCATCGATCATACGTGATACGAGTTGCGGGTAGATCACCCATTGGCTGGTTAGCGATGTTGTGATTCAAGTGGGTAGATTTTACACAATTATGATATACGTTGCGGATCAAATTTTTTTCGCAGCGCAACAACCCAATATCTTCGTTGAAGCACTGCTTGCATTATGCGGGGTCCAGCATGCAGTGTCAGCCTGTGGATTTCGTGTACTATAAGTGTAGCGAACGCAGAATTTTTCGGTAGAATAATAGGATGTTTCATATCAGATGCAATAGCAGCGTGTTTAATACCCCTCCAACTCGAAGGATACCACACTCATCAATAAATGGGTGCAAACGCAAAAGACAGCTACGGGGCGGAAGGGGCCGTTTCGCGATGCAAATAGAGACTTCATTAGAAAAATAAAATAGTTGCGTATACTAAATTAGTCGATTTTCAGCATCAGCGATCTTCTTGCGATTCGGTATCCCAATGAGTTTTTAGGCTCCGTTGTGAAGACTCGCTTGAATGTTGCGAATAAACCTAAGGCAGTAGACTACGATGCGACGTAGTTTTGAATACGAAGAGTATCTCGTTATTACTGACCAGTACTCATTGGAATTGACAATGTGAGCACGGAACTTGCTTCTTACACCTGGTTCAGTGGTATGTAACTTCAACGCCGATTGTCTCCAGAAATATCAGGTAATCTTAAGGAATATGGGCACAGCCCACCACAAGGGATGGCTCAGTAATTCGGATTGATTTNGTTTTGCTTGGATTAACAGAAGACTCTTATTTTCTCCGAGAAGTGGACTAACGACTGAGCTTTCCGCAGAAGTTCTATTTATGGCTCGATTAACTTGATTAACAGAAAAACTGCACTTATCTCCTTGAAGTGGACCAGAGACTGACCCATACGAAAAAAATGTATTTGTGGTTGGATTAACCAGAGATTCGTTACAGGGGTGGCATTTGCTCAGATTAAAAAGAAGACTCATCTTCTTCCAGGGAAGTAAACCAGAGGGCAACCTATTCGAAAAGAAAGACTTCTATATGATTCATTTCAATTAGTTCGTCCTTAAATTCGTTATAACGCGATCGGAAATCCTTATTTAGAGCCAATTTTTTGTCGGTCTGCAAAGCATATTTTGGGGTACCTCTTCTAACTCCCACAGCCACTGTCAGGAAGACCCTTTCGTAATCCAGAACATAGATATTGCTCCATTACGTCCATTCCAATCAATAAGTCGACGTGTCCATGCTTCATAAATTGTGGATCAGCCAAAAGCAAATCATTATCATGGGACCATGAAGAGACAGGTAGGGCAAGCGTAGGCAACTCGCTCGTGATATTAGATAAAATCAAAGCATTTATGGTGTAACATTCATCAGAGTAGTAAGGCGAAAGTGAAATTAGTGTCTCACATCTTGATTTGCCTCCCTGCGAGGATCCAATTCCCGTGATTAAAACTGTAGATCGAACGAGGCATGTGATCCGGAATCGAAAAACAGAAGAGCAGTTGCCACTTGCCAGTGTAATCACGGATCTTTACCAAAGCTGTGGAAAGTAATACGGTTCTTTGCGTTGTTGGCAACAAATTGGAATTTAAGCATGAAGATATACATAATGGTTTGGTCCCAGTTAACGAAGTGAACCCAGATGAGAGATTTGCGGAGGAGTCTTCAGACGAGGGCTGCTTTATTTCGTTGACGAGGTATGTTGGGGATACATTGGCTGAATTCGCGTTAACATGGAGTAAAGAATGATGTCGTTTTTGGCATATTCGACAAACTGATGTGCTGTTGCACTGGGCTTTGTAATGTCCGGTACTTAGACAATTGATACATGCCTTTGATTCTTTTACAAAGCTCGATTTTGTGTTCGAGTCCAGACTACGGAATTTCTCCCAACTATAAGTTTTGTGCGATCCATTGCAATAAATACAGCAAATAACGTTCGTACCAGATAAGGCGTAAAATACCTTGCCCAATTTGGTGGGTGCTGCAGTTGATGCAGTCGGCGTGGGAAGCATAGACAGCGAGCGTCATCTTATGTCCAAAAAGTTGACCATTGTTTGAATGTCGGCGGATCATCGTTAAGAAGCGATAGCTCCCATTGCTTTCTAGTTTCAAATGCTAATCTGCTGACGATTTCATGAACTAGCCAGTCGTTCCAAAACTGGACTGGTCGGCCTATAGCTTTGAGTTTTCTAATATGCTGCTGAAATGCATTAAAAACGTTTTTTATAGCTTCTGCCGTATCATTACACGCTTTCCGTATTTCAGCCATTGTTTGGAAATCAACAATGGATAACACGCAGAATTTTATAGCGGGACTTAAGTAAGTCCCACGCTTCGCTATAATTTGCGTCACAAATTTTAAACTCGTTAACAATTTTTAACGCATCTCCCTTTAAGCACGTTCATATCTACTAATGCGGAGAACTCATCATAAGAGCCTACCCATTCTGTTGAGGCAAATGTGTCGTCGAATTTGCAGCGAGTAGAGCAGTGGGTTAGATGTGGAAAAGTTTTATGAAGTTGGGTTTTTTAGACTAACAGGAAGACCTTCATTTCTCCGGGAAATTAGCCAGAAACTAACCTATTCAAAAAATGTTATTTATGGTTCCATTTACTTGAAACTCGCGACATAGGTGGATTTTTGCTTAGATAACCAGAAATACTTTTATTTTCTTCGGGAAGTGAACCAGGGAATATCCTATTCGATAAATGCTTAGTTTTGTTCAATTTACTTGAACTTCGATACATGGGTGGCTTCTGCTTAGAGTAACAAGCAGATTTTTCTTTTCCCCGGGAAGGGCCATGGACTAAAATATAAAATATATTCGAAAAAATTGTTGGGGTTGGATTTACTTTAATTTCTGTACATAGGAGACATTTTGCTTAGATTAATAGAAATATTCTTAGAGACTGACCTATCCCGATTAACTTGATTAACAGAAAAACTGCACTTATCTCCTTGAAGTGGACCAGAGACTGAGCCATACGAAAAAAGTTTATTTGTGGTGGTGGGCCAGGGAAAAACCTATTCGAAAAAAGCTTTTTTGGTTAGAATTACTTGAAATTCGATACATGGGTGGCTTCTGCATAGATTAACAGGCAGATTTTTCTTTTCCCCGGGAAGTGGGCCAAGGACTAAAACATTCGAAAAAAATTGTGGGGTTGGATTTACTTTAATTTCTGTACATTTAAATTTGCGATTTTGCTTAGAATAACCGGAATACTTACATTTTCTACGGGAAGTGAACCAGGGAATATCCTATTCGAATAAAAGCTTATTAATGGTTCGATTTACTTGAAATTCGATACATGGGTGGCTTCTGCTTAGAGTAACAAGCAGATTTTTCTTTTCCCCGGGAAGGGCCATGGACTAAAATATAAAATATATTCGAAAAAATTTTTGGGGTTGGATTTACTTTAATTTCTGTACATAGGAGACATTTTGCTTAGATTAATAGAAATATTCTTAGAGACTGACCTATCCCGATTAACTTGATTAACAGAAAAACTGCACTTATCTCCTTGAAGTGGACCAGAGACTGAGCCATACGAAAAAAGTTTATTTGTGGTGGGAGGNATCTCCTTGAAGTGGACCAGAGACTGACCCATACGAAAAAAATGTATTTGTGGTTGGATTAACCAGAGATTCGTTACAGGGGTGGCATTTGCTCAGAAAAAACGAAAAAACTGAGCTAGGTTAGCAAATGTGACGAATGTAACGGCAAAAAGAAGAGCAAACGAAAATGTAAAACAATTTATAGCAAAATATTGCGATCGGTGTTTTTCTTTACGTATGTTCTCCAGGAAGCTTAAGTAGGCTGCACATATAACTCAAAAGCTTACTTTCTCGAGCGTTTGCTTTCTAAAATCCACCTCATTCTTCTATAAGAGAACTGGGCCAGGGACTGACCTACACAAAAAATAACATTCATTGCACGATTTACTCGATTAGCAGGAAGACAGATACAGACCTATTCTGAAAACCTATTTATGGTTCGAATTACTTGAAATTTTTGTTTACTAAAATAAACAGGAACAACTTTTTTCCTTCGGGAAGTGGACCAGAAACTGACCTATGCAATAAATGTTATTTATGGTTCGATTTACTTGAAACTCGCGACATAGGTGGATTTTTGCTTAGATAACCAGGAATTTATATTTTCTCCGGGAAGGGAACCAGGGAATGTCGAATTCGAATATAAGCAAAATCATATTCGAAAAAAGCTTTTTTATGGTTATAATTACTTGCTTTTGCTTAGATTAACACGCAGACTTTGCTTTTCCCCGGGAAGTGGGCCAGTGACTAAACTAACTAACCTATTTTTAGGTTTGGATTTACTTTAAATTCTGTACATAGGAGACATTTTGCTTAGATTAACAAGAAGTTTCTTATTTTTCCCGTTAAATGGTTAAGACTGACTTATTCAGAAAAGCTTACTTATGGTTCGATTTGAAAATTCGCGATATAGGTGGCTTTTTGCTTAAATTAACAGGAAGATTTTTTTCCCCCGGAATGTGTACCAGAGACTGAGCTTTCCGAAAAAGTTCTTTTATTGGGTAGATTTACTTGATTAACAGGAAGACCATACTTCTCTCCTTGAAGTGGACCGTAAACTGACCTATACGAAAAACTTACAATTATATTTCGATTTACTTGATTAGCAGGAGGACTATACTTTTCTCCAGGAAGAGAGCCAGATATTGACATATTCCAAATATATTTTTATTGATCGGTTTACTTGAAACTTAAGATATAGGTGGCTTAGATTAACCGGAATACTCTTATTTTCTCCAGGAAGTAAACAATAGACTGATCTACTCGA